CCAACAGAGCAGAGTATTGCGACCATGGTTGATCTTTTGTGCAGAAGACATTTCGCCTTCCGAATGAAAGCCAGAACAACAGCCGTTGAGTCCTCCTAATATCAGAAGGGGAGTGTAGTTCTCGACCGATTAACCTCCTCCTGGCTCAGATAAAGGCTAAGCAGTCAAAGAGAACGTAACTGGAAGTATCGTCTGCTTCTAAGCAAAGTCAACAATCTATCTCTTCGGACAGACACATTTTGTTAAGATGATAACGCAGTCTATGGTGACACATATGGTGACATATATACTTATTATATGAAAAAATTTAATTTTTATTTGTTACCAATTCTTTACAAATATTTTGATTAAAAAAGAAAAATGCTTAAATAAAGCACATTTATGCGTTTTAAAAGCAGCACAGATTTTTAAATTTACAAATTTTGTTTAAATAATAAATTTATTCTATATCAAGTTGTGCTATAATAACATTGGTAAATTAATATAAAATCTTTTATGAAATATTGCCTTAATTAGTTATTGTTCTCCAATTTCTTTTTAGTAATATATAAATTAATATATAAAGATTTTGAATTGAATTTGATTGAAAATTATATTCCAATTTTTGGATATAATAGTTAACTAGTCATTTGGTTTAACAAATATCTGATATAATGTAAACTATAATGTATATAACTTTTAGTATTTTATTTTAAATTTATTACTTTTATAATTTTTAATACGATATTTTATTAAGATATGGCTAGAACTTTCTTTTTCTTAAAGACTAATCAATCTTTATCACTAAAGTTTTTATACGTTATAGTTATAGTTAAATTATAAATTATTTAGTTAAATTATTTAAAAATGTATTAAATAAGAGCAAATATTATATAGTATATTATAAATTTAAATAATATAATACTAATAACAGAACTGCAATAATTTTATTAATAAAAAATAATTATAAAAATAAAATATGCAAACATTTGGTTAATATTTCAGCCACTAATTTACAAATTTTTAATTGATTTCAAAAAGAGTGCTAAAATAAAGCACATACATGCTTTTTAAAAGCAGCACATATTTTTAAATTCAACAATTTTGTAAAAATAATGAAATTATTCTACATCAAGTTGTGCTGTAACAGCTTTAGCAAATTAATATAGGATGTAAAGTGAAATGGTGGGTAAACGGATTATTACACCTCCCATAAACAAGGCTGTAATACAGTAGTCTCTCGGTTGAGAAAATATCCGATATAGCAAACTATCTATATACCAAATTATCAAATTCTTGTAAATAACAAAAATATAAAGAATGTTCTTTCTAAATAAAAAATGATGGACATCATCATCATCATACGTGAATATATAGTCCATGTAGGATCTAAATCTGTTTACATACAGTCTTCCATTTTTTGTTTTCCAATTTTTTATGTTCCTTTCCACCTGCTTCCACCTGCTTTTTTATAAAAGCGATATTGGAATCAAAAGCCACAAATTAAATTAATGTATATGTGAGCTTTTTAAGCATATCCATTTAAATAAACATGTTAAATATTAATATTACTTTAATATGTAATATATATTTACTGCTAATATATTTTAGTGGAATATTCCACTATAGTGAGATACTAAATATGATAACGAATTTTATTTACCACACCAAATACGTGCTAAATTTCTAAAGTGTTAAGTGTGTGCTAAATAGTTTGTTTTAAATGTTTACATTTAACACCTAATTAAATTATTATTATATTTTAATAAATAGCTGGATTTGAACTGTCAAGTTAACTATTGCCAGTTTTTTTACATATACTTTTTTGGTGCTGTTTTTTACACTAAAACTTTTACAATTTAGCATTATTTTATTTTAATGGCTTTAGAACCTGTTGTTATTAGAAAAGGTTTTCTTCCTTTCCTCTGATAACAACTGTTATTGATTTTAATACGAAGATTGCATATATATATTTTCAATACAGATTGAAAAAATTAAAAACAAAACAAAAACATTCTGTTAATATTTTTCCTGCTGAAAGTGACGCACCTAACGAAAAGGAACTATTTAAAAGTTAGAAGCGTTCGAATAGATAAGAAACGACAACAACAAAGATTTAAATTAATTTATTGAAATTTGCCTGACCTGTTTCGAGTATTGCCAAGTACTACATACGGATTATATACGAACTATAAATTAATTAAAAAATGCGAATATTTCCTAAGATCACTGATGATGAGTACTTAGCAATACTCGAAACAGCGTTGTATGGTCAGCCAAATTTCAATAAATTAACGGCAATTTTTGTTGTCTTCGTTTCTATTCGAACCCTTCAAAAAAAAGACAACACCTTATCTTACCTTATCTTATCTTGTTTTATCTTATCATAAACTCGCACCAAAAAAATTTGGAAATGGGATCGCAGAAGTTTGTATGATCCATTGTATTCTTGTTATTGAATATTCTAGTGAATCTAATTCTTGTTAAGTTAAATATTCTATTTATATTCAAGTCTAATTGGTATAATTAGAATAATTATTCGTATTACTACATAAGTTTATTTGTATGACTAAAAATTAAAATTACTTATTTCTCGATAGTCATCTTTGGGGATGTGTTTTTATTGAAGATAGTCGACATATCAAATATTTATTTATAAAAAAAACACTACTTATTATAAACACAATAATTAGTGACTTAATTAAGTAAGTAATAAGTTTGTATTATAAATATATTATTCTAACTCTTCACCTTACATATGAACTCATACAAATACTTAAATTGAAAAGTTCAAGTTATAATTATATCTTATATGAAATTTTCTTTTATTTTGAATTATATTTGTTTTTAAATTATATCTTATAAATAAATTATAAAAGGTGCATTATAGTTCATATATGTTAAGTATTTCAACACTTCATTACAGTTTGTAATATATTTCCTAACAATATTTACATCTTATCATAATCATACATGCATGCGTCAATGCTTCAAAGAGTATATGTAAAATTTTATTAATTTACTATTTATAGCATTTCATTTAATTTATTTATATATCTAAATCAATCAAATTTCCAACCGACTGGTTGTATGAGTAACATTTTATGATTAATTATTTAATATAAATTCTTATTTAAATTTATACATATTAAAATTTTATGAGTAAACAAATTTTGTGTGAATATGCTTATGAATCTGTAGAAATATACATATATATATATATATATATATATACACATATATATACACATATATGAGGAAATTCAAAATATGTTGGCTTATTGCATTCTTATAAAATGCAAGAAATCAGAATGTCCATTAATTATAACATTTCGGGAATTAGAACTACACAGAAAATAACTATACCTATAAATGCACACTATTTATGTACAAATATATTTTATCTAAGCTTATTTACATATAACTCCTTACAAATGCAATAAATAACTTCTACCTAGATTCGTTTATTAATTGATTTTGTTGGTTATAATTATTTAAAATCTAACAACTAATTGAAATAAATCAGTCATTAAATGTTATATATTTAAATATATTTAAACTAAAATTAAAAAAATTGACGAAATGTATATATATTAATACGTACCATACATTAAGCTATTCACTTTACTTTGGTTAATAATTATTAATAATATTTAATTTAAAATATATATATAAATTATTAATATATATTGATAATTGCTTAAAATATAATTTTTTACTTTAATAACTAATAGTTTTAAATAATATATTTTAATATATTATTCAGTTAATTTATATCACATTATTTAATACATAATATGTGCACAATTTTATGATTTTTTATGCATTATATTATATTGTAATTTTTAATAATCTATTAACCCACTGCAAATATAAATTTTATTTATTTTATATACATTTCATTTTATGTAAAACTATATTTATATATATTCAATTATAACCCAAAAAGTAAATATTATTAAACTACTAATATACCATATATCTTTTGTAATTCCAGCATTAAATCAATTTTTTTAAAAGGATCTTTATTTATATTTTATTTATTTTATCTGTTAACCAATATTTCGCATACAAAAATATAATAATTTAAACAAAAATAAAAAACAAAAAAAACTATAATATATTATTTATATTTAAAAAAAGTTATATTTTATTAAGATATTTTCTAATACTTTTCCAGGGAAACTGAATAAAATATTTTGTTTAGAAAAATATTTATATTATATATTTATATTTATATGTATTAGTTAATACCCAAATAACAGAAATTATATTATAAATCTAGTCCTTAATTAATATTTTTATATAAAAGTTATATTATTTAATACATTGTGTAATTATAATATATATTTCATTATTATCTTAAAAATCTAATAACCGACTGCAAATACAATTTGTACTTTTTTTTTTTATATTACTCAACGTATCATAAAATAATATATTTTTTATACTGAATTGATAAGCAAAGTTAGATATTAAAATTCTTGTATAATATCTCGTAAACCCTCGTTTTAAATCAATTTTTTTAAAGGGTATTTTTTTTTATTGTATTAATTTTATATTTATCCTAAGATTTCTAATAAAAAAGTATTTGTTTTTGTTTAATCATAAAGTAAACAATATAAATTATTAAAAGTCTAATATATATATCTCGTGAAGTATTTTTTAATATTTATGATAAGTACAGGAATGATTAATCTCAACCCTAGGCAGATGACAATATCGCCATAATTTTAACCTTTTTATATATAATTACACCACTTTAAAAATTTATTTTTAATAAAACAAATTCAAAAGTAAAATAATAAATAAAGCTGAAATACTATTTTACTATTACTGTACTATATATCTCATAAGCCCTCATCATTTTTTTTTAATGATCATCATTTTAAAAGTGTATTTATTTATATTGATTTTATTTTGTATCTAACTAATTATATATATATATGATGGACTTAAATTGATTTTGTATTTATATTTTATTATATTTATGTGTTCTAGTATATATATTTATGACTTACCTATCATAGTTCCGACAATTAAAGCCACCCCACTGAAGAGTCCCACCCGTCTCTGGAGGTGAATAGCGTCGTTCGGCGCTGAGCCCTTCCTCTCCAACGACTTCCGCATCCGCCCGGACCCTGATGAGTCGGTCTCTGTCGCTTCGGGCCCTTCTGGCCCAAGAGACCCATTGGCACACGTTGACCCGTTGCTCGTAGCTTTAATTGGCACATTATGTCCTTTTGTAGTACCAATGGCGGAGGCAAAATTTTATTTTAAATATTTTATTAAATATATTATTTAATAATTTATTTAAGTAGAAAAGGTAGAGATAAACGAATTTTGTTATATTTTTTTTGAAAAATTTGCAATCGGAAATGAAAAGAACACAAAATATTTTTATTAATTTTTATACATATATATGAAATAATTATATTTTTTTAATTTTATATATTATATGTGAATTTAAATAGTTTTTATTTTTATGATATAAAAAAAATTGCTTTAAAATGTTTTTTTTTATATTTTTTGTGTGAGCACACTTTTTGGCACGATGTGCAAACAATATTCCAAGGAGGCCAGCCAGAGTTTTGTTCTTTTTTTCTTTTATTTTTCTTAACAATTTTATAACAATCAATCAAGCTATAAATTTTTTTAACATTTAATGCTTATCTAGCATCTATTGGATGCACATTAACACACTGAGACCCACAAGCACACACACACCTCGATTATCTGTTGCATTATTTTTGCATGCGGTTTTTTGCAAGCAAAATAGTTGAGATATTTTATCGCGCATGGCATGGACGGATAACAAATTTTACAGATTATTTCGCCGCAAATTCTTACTAACAGCGAACGATGGCGACGACGAACTTCAAGAAACTGTTTGCCTATTTTAGCCGCACAACGTGATAAAGTCCAGCAAGGAGCCAAACGGCACGAGCGAACGACGAAACAAATCGCAAAGAGCCGATGTTAGACGAAGTGTTAGCTGCGTCAACCGACAAAAGCCGAAGCGCAATATTGTGTAGATATTTTTTTTTGTTTGTTTGCCGAAGAATAGAATTTTACACTTCGTTTAAGATATAAGATATTTTGCCAATTTAACACAGATTATTCTAGTTTAATTCTCTTTAGGAATTTCAGTTTGTATAAAATTTATGAATGCAAAAAAAATAATAAATATTCTATGTCTATACTTTTTTTATTTTTCTTTTTGTTTTTGTTTTAATGTAAAGTGAAATTATTCTGCGTACAACAATAGTCTCTGTTGTGAGACTACCGAGTTGAAGTGCAAAAGAAAAGAGCAGACACTACGTATGGATTTTTTCAGTACTGCAGCTACGAGTGCGTCACTGAAAAGTCATGGAATATATATATATATATGTATATATATCGAAATTAAAAGAAAAAATTACTCCCTGCTCGCAATATTATTGACGTATTATAATTTATATCAATTGAAAACAATTTCTAATTTTAAACAAATTTTATCTGCATATAAAAAGTATCTGGTTTCGTTGTAATTGACAGAGTTATTAATTATTTCAACGAGTTATATGAAAGTATCTGTGAAGACCTCTAACTGCTGGGCTACGTGACACTTTTAATGCCAATGCGGTATTTAATAATTTTTTCTAATTTTTTTTTTTTAATACTATGATTGAAAATTTTTTTATTAAATTTTATCTAAATTCTTGAAAATTTTAATTTATGTGATTAAAACATTAACTTTTCGCGCATTTAAATGTTTTTGTTTTCATTGAATGTTATATATATTATATTATATATAAAAATATTTTATTTTTAATCAAAAATATGCAAGATTTTTGTCAAATTTTATATTTTTTTTATTATCGAAAACTGAAGGTGAAGGCATTTTTGATATAAAGTGCAAATATATGTGTTTTTCTCTTAGTGTATATAAATTCTTTTTTTTATTTTATTATTTTTCTTTTATTTGTTTATTATTATCTATTTGTTTTTTTTTTTTTGTGTTTTTTGTTTATAAGTTTTTTACAAAATCAATGTTTACTCTTGTGTTGATATTTCTATTTTTAAGAATTTTTTATTTATATTAGACTTTTCTTTCAACTGTACGAGTACGTCATTACGTCACTACAACAGACACTTGGTCGGTCAGATTTTCCGTCAATGATTTTTCTCGCGAATTTTATTTTATATTCAAAATATCTATTTTATACAATTTTTGTTATTTTAAGATATTTCTTTTTGCTTTAGATTTTATCTGATTTTTTTTTTCTGCTATATATTTGAATAAAATTTTGCTGTGCACGCGCTCGTTACTTTTGCACTACTAAAGCAAGAAATAATTGTCTCAAATAATGTTATTTAAGGGATTTGAGCAAAATTTGCATATCTACATATGTACAGATATATATATATTATTGTTTTTTCATTGCAGCATCATCAGCAACATCATTGCTTCGCTTTGGTACAATTGGTTCGATGCACGAAATACTCAATTGAGTTGAGTTTTATATTTAATTTGAGCAAATTGAGTGGAATTTTTGTCTTCAATTTACGAATTTGTGATTTCTTCATTTTATTAATGAGCGTCTTTTAAGTTATTTTAATTGAAAAGTATAGAAAAATAAATTTCTTTTAAATAAAACATTCAAAGTAATGAACATTCACGCAATAACTAAGTATGAAGCATTTCAATTTCATTGGCTAAAAAATATTAGGAAATATTAGAAAATATTAAACTTAGGATACGGATACAAACTATGGATTCTGTGAAGAAAATGAGTAGTCGACCACACATGTGCCGTTAGAATGCCCTTCGCTAATGCACATACGGAATAGGCTCCTGGGAATGTATATTCTTACGGAAGAGGCAATAAAACTTTGTTAAGTAGATTCTATACTACTTTTTATTGACGCAACAGTGCTTAGAGACCTACTTTAAACCCAGAAGGGGACACAATAGACTCAATGGTCACAGTGCCACATCCCCTAATAATAATAATAATTAAATTAATTAACAAAAAAAATATATATCATATATATATCAACATCGCCACACTGGCGTAATTCCGCTGAGTGAAATTACTTTTTATTTTATAAACATTCTGTAATGCCATCCTGCTTTCCTAAAGATTATCCTGCTTAAATCAATGGTCAAGTTGCTCCACTCTATTGGGAGCTTGTACCCTGTTTATTTCTAATTCTAAACAGAAAAAAATCAAAATTTTTTTCAATTAAACGAGATTAAAATTTATTTTATGACCTTTTAAGAAGACCCCATGAAATATAATGCAAATATGCCGGCTCTTTACTCATACCCAAAAATTTATTATGAGCTAACTTAAATATGGCTTTTAATGCCATATTAATTTTATGGCTTCGTAAGGGATTTTTCTCAGTTCGATACGCTTTGGGTTTTAAATATGGCTTTTAAGTTTGTAAGATCTCAGTTCGAAACGCCTCACATGAAATTATTATTTAAGCTTTGGATATAGAAAAAATTTACATAGGGCCATATCAGGTGAGTACGCTGGTTGATTGAATACATTCAGATTTTTCGTGGGCTCAATCAGACATGACCTTTAACGTCTTCTGGAGATTTTCTCAGTTCGAAACACCAAGCTCGACATTATGATTTTAGCATTAGATATAGAAAGATATCTAATATATTTCAACAGAATATCGCGTCAGAAGTCAGCGCGTATCTCAATGCAAAAAAAAAACATTGTAACAGACGTGCCTTAAAAAATCAAAATTCTGAGAAATAAACAGATCTTTCGTAATAAAAACAAGATGCTAACTACACAGTGCATACTATGTCTACGGTATTTAAAATATTTCTTATTAGAAAATTTTCCTTTAATGACACTTTTGAGAGATTTTCCTTTGATTTGCTCCTTCTGATGCAAACCGCAAAGCTCACCAAACACACAGAATAGGATAAGAAAACTTATTGTTTCTAGACAGAAACTATATTCTGACCGATATAACAGTCCAATCCTGTAAGTATCTTATAATGTAAATAATAAAACTAAAATATAATAAATGTATGTTTTTAGTTATACCTGCCTTCCATCAAATTCCATTGATCTCGTCCAACCATGTCGAGTTGTTTTCGCTTCTGAACTAAGTTTGTTTTTAAATTTACTTTGTTATATGCAAAATAGTATACGAGTGTATCTAATAAGATTTCATAAAATCCTATATAATTCAGTATCTGTATTTTAGTATATTTTCTTGTGCTAATTAATAGAAATTGCTTAGATTTTCGAACTTAAACGCATAGGTGCGCTTGAATAACTGTTTGAGCCTCGTTTTACTTGTTAGTTATTGTTAACTTTTGAAAAAAAAGTTATATTAATTATTGTTATAATAATTATATTGTTAATAAATCAATATTTGCCAATGTCTATGCAAATATTACTTATACAATGTTTATTGTAATTTGAAGCTTTGCTTAAAAATGTATCTCGTAGCAACCTTAATGTATTAGTAATCGATCATGTGTTGTTATATGCGTGTATTTCGTCATATATATAAACAAAAAAATTATTATAAAATTTTAAACACAATTAAAAATTGTTTACGTTTGAAAAATATAGCAAAATAACGATTTTTTATTATAGATAATTATATATTTGAAGCACTTGAATGATAATGATAAATGTTTTTTTTGGGAATTGATGTCAATCACATTTTTCACAGAATGACTTTTTCTTTTTTTCATATTATATATAAATTAATCTTTCGATGTAAACTGCATTATTTAAATATAAAAAGTATCTAAGCACATGAATCAATCTGAGTCTAATACTCATCGAATATCTAAAAGTCATTAATGGTTATCATTATCCAGCCGACATAGGTATTTTAATATACGACATGTATATACTTTTATACCAGAAAAAGTCTAACCAAATATTCTCACGTACTTCGCTTTATTTTATTGCAAATAAATTTAGCACTTCTAGTAAAAATATCTTATCAAGTGGCTGTATTTTAAGATACATAATTGTTTTTATCAGTAATGCTATAACAGATTTTTATAGTGTCATAATAAAAACGCTTTGAAGTGTTATTTGCACGTGTTGCATTATATAAAATTTATTTTTGATATACAATATATTTTACTGAAACCAGTTATAAAAAATTGTGATTTATTTTATTATTGTGTGAAATAATTTTTATATTTTCTATATTTAAAATGACAGTGTATTTTTGCAGTAAAAATACACCAATGGTCCTT